CAAACCCCCAGCCACCTGTTATACGGGGCCTGGCTACCAACTGCGATCTAGCCTAGTTCTTGTATGCAGTCGGAAATAAGTTCGTTCGAAAGAAGGCACCCTGAGGTTACTGGATCATTATAGAATTATGCTGAACGGTGATTAGTTTTACGACCGTATTTAATTGATCTTTTCGATACGAGAACGCATTTCAAAATTTCGGCTGACATTTCATGAGTTCGCCCACCTAATGTATATATATGATAGCATAGAGGGAAGAGAGTGTCTGGGGGTAGATTCATACAGAACTGTTTCGGGCTTGTTTGTCTCCATTAAGCCATCCATAGCCTTGACCACCAACTAGGTCTGCAGATACAAACATGCGCTCACACACCTGACGCAGTTGGTCAACCACTAATGGCTCATAAGCACTTCATCGAATCAAAGTTCATCAGCGCCTCGTCACCTTCCATTCTTTATCGCTGCAGATAGGGTATTTATTCACTCAGACTCTGTCGTCTACCCTCTGCTATCATTGCCTGATCGACTTCGACCTGATAGACGGTTGTCTGTTCGTGACCCCTTCCACCCATACGGAGCTTGTTTGCTTTGGGAAACCGATGGATCGGTGTGTGCCCACTCTTGAATGAATATGTACATATAATGTTGGGAGTACGCCCACCAATCGAGTTACAGGGCAAGCTCACCCCCAATGTGTTTTTGGATTCAATTTTTAGGCCCCGCCAGCAGTTCTGAAATATAAACTTACCGTAAGTACATCATGTTCGCAGCGTAGTCATTCGGCTTAAATACGTCCTTCCTAGTCAGAATGTATGAGAGCGTGAGTTGCGGCAGTTTACCAGGGACCATCCACACAGAAAAACCAAAATCCATACTGCCCAAGTTCGGGTTTATCTTCGGTCATGTAGAAGTTTATTCTCAACAACGCCCTCCCGTGGACGGTGAACCTTATGGGTTCCTAGGTGAGAAACAGACACATTAAAGATAATCTTAGTAGACGCCTGACATCCCGGAACTTCACAAAATTGTTGTATTAAATGGATTAATTCGACTTCAGACACAGGAGGATGTACTCACAAGGAGAGGATAATTAAAAAAACCAATTATTTTGCTGGATACACTCCACTGTCTGATAAGCACAACTCAGCATGATTTCTACGAGGAGCGGTCCTGTCTTACAAACCTCTTGACATCGCTTGAACTTTGGTCAAAGGCAGTGGACAAAGGACATCCATTTGGTGTCATTTATTTTGACTTCAGAAAGGCCTTTGATTGCGTTCCACAAAAGCGCTCATGCAAAAAATGCCAGACTTAGGGGTTAGAGGAGACCGTGTGAACTGGGTTTAAGATTTCGTAATTCATCGTAGACGAAAGGTTGCTGTGGATGGCTGCTGTTCAGAGTGGACGTCTATTAAAAAAATGCAAATAATGCCAGTGAAGCGAAGGAGAAATGCAACTTCACGACAGTGTGCAAAATTAGCTTGGAGTATTAGATAAACACGATTTAAGCGTGACAACACAGTGCTTTATATTTGCAGTACGGACGACGTCAACTATGAAGGCGATACGCAGAACGTTTGTTAAACTACAGCAGATATGGTAACTCATGAAATGTTGATCAAAATTCTGAAATTTGCCTTCGGCTCGAAAAGGTTACTTAAGTGGGGTTGTAATATTAATCGCCCTTCAGAATGCCGGCTTTTGAACGAAATTCTTTCCAGCCACCTGAAAAAACTAAGTTATGCAAAAAGTACTACTTACGTAGTATGAAATTTTCTTAGTGATTTACGACGGTCTTATAAATTTAAGTATATTTAATGGAAAACATACATATAAATATTCATTCGTTTACTCATTTGGTTGAAAATTATGTCTTCTGCAGGCGATGAATATAAAAACTCTACTTAAGTGATCTTTTAGAGTAGAAAACGTATTTCAGGATTTCGGTCAACATTTCATGGGTTAATAGATATACAGATATCTTCGGTAAAGTTTACGGAGGATCTGCGCGGACCCACCTGAAATATGTGATACACGCTTGGCGACCTGGGTTTCAGGAACACATAGATATTCTTGCAGGTGTGCTGTGACATGCTTCAAAGCTTGTTCCGGAACTCAAAGATTGGACGTACGAACAGCGCCTGACCACCTTAAACCTATACATTCTCCATTGTAGACGAGGCCGAGGTGAACTTATACCAACGTTTCAGTTGCTGCGAGGATCTGAACATGGGATGGATGGGGAAAATCTTTTCGAAATAGCAGCGTAGAAGAATTTACGACGTCGTCCTTGTTGGCTGAAAAAGGGACTGTGTTGCACCGAACAACGTTCCGTCTTTTTCTTGGAGAGATTCATTGGGCAATGGAATTCTTTATTAACGTATGTTGTGCATTCCCGCAACTTGAGTGTTTGTACGAGGAGTTTGGATACTCAGCTGTTAGATGTCAGCTGGAATGCCCTAAACCTCATCTAACTAGTCACTATTGTTAAATATCCACATGTTACTATCTTAATTTCAGTAACGCATTTAATTGCGGCTTTATAAGTTCCAGAGGAATTAATCGCCTACTTTGAGTAGATCAGTCTGTTGAGACTAACAAGCTCAAACAGACAACGGGCGTGCAAAAGCAATTAACTTCTAGACCAAGCCTGACAAGGGATCCTATGAGTGGCTAAAGTCATCTGCTCGGGATCGATTGAGCCAGTTTGAATCTGTCCTTAACAACTTTGTATGTGACATCTAAATCGATATGTCAGTTGATGCATGCCTCATCTGAGTGCATTGCCTCTAGGAATTCGCGGCCTTTCCTTATTGGGCAGGCGCCAACAATGCGAGTGTTTTCCCATACGAATTGTTGTCCAGTGTCCAGTGTGTGCATGGGCACCTGGGATTGCTGGTGCCTCATGCACGCCAGTTGTCTGAAGACGAGCTGGGAAACCAGTCTCGAAAATTCACACAATAAAGTTTTCTGTTTCCCAAAGAATTTCATCTTCCTTATTATATCTCTTGAGATGCCTGTTTTTCAATATATATGTATATAGGTGGGTAGAACGACATACCATACTTGACAGCACAGGTACTATTTAGAAGCTCACACACGCGTTTTGCCGATATTCTGCTGCTGCATGACACAGCTGCGAGGACTTTGACTAATCAATGGGTTCTCCAGCATTCCCCGTGCGTTTTTCTAGTAGACACCCCAGTATTGAAATGCAGGTTTTTTAGTTTCCTTAGAAATTAATTGCTAACTTAGAGAATATCAGTTTGTCTGAGACTTACAGGCTCAGACATCTAGCTGGTACCTGTGTTGTCAAGCATGGTATATCGTGCCATCTGTGAATATACAATTGGCTGTCCGTTTCCAATTCATGTTGTCCATTTATGAATACTGAGTGCTTATTCTGCTGTGACTGCTGGACCTCTACCCAAATACTCATATTAAATTTCAGTCTGAGTTTATAAGTCAAAATTCTGTTTGCTGCTATTTAGTAAATTCACCTGTTTCTTTTACTCATGTTTCACTATCAGTCTTAGATATTTTGCATTTTGAAATTACTGATAGATCACTGCAACTTAACGCCTTTTCCTGCAGACTTGTATCTTTTTTCATTGGAGTTTTCAAGGACTTCTGCAGTTTCCTCTGAATACGTTGACTTGACTGGTTGATTTGATTTGGTCAGAGCTCTTGACGCGCAGCCAGCTTTGGACTTGCAAGCACATCTGTCCGCGAGGGTGATGTGGACGTGTATAAGTGCCATGCGAATGTCAGTCTGAGCTTGTTGAATTTATTGGGTGAGTGCGGAGTTTGTGAGCGACTGTGATTAGCTGCTATATCGGCTGTATGTGCGTGTGTTCCAGTCGACCGGGCACAGTGATCGCACTATTCCTAACATGGCGCATTTGTTAGAGGCCGGAGGTTTATGCCAATAATCCCATTGAAGTAGTTGCGCAAAATAACCCTATTCTCAGAACAATCTCAACATGACGGTAGGCAAACGAATTTTTGGTCGCAAAGGTACAGTTCTGTTAAAACCATTATATGGTCTCAAACTCAATGTATCCAACAGCAACCGCGGTTCCTGTGCGTATTTACGGACTCTAGTTAAACTCTGAAGGGGCCGGCCAGTAAATCCTTTATCACAGGGGAGCAGGTGTACACCGATTTGATTGATCTATTAGGGAAAAATGCTATGGACTGTCTTGTTAAGGGTCACGAAGAGGCAACAAAGAACACTGGCACGCAAAAACAAGGATAGACAGAAAGAGACGGGGACTTAGAGGACAGATGCTCATATCTTGTTTAGTCCCTCTGGATTTGGTCGCAGGAATGCGTGCCAATCGACTTGAGGTCACCTGCGGGACCGCCCACTATCCCGTCTTCGACCCGTCTAACTTCCTCCTCAACTCGAGACCTTGGGCACATGTGACTTGGCCCCGGCGAGGCGGGGACTAGGCACCAATCAGCGCTGCATCCTTCGCTGATTGGCTTTGGGGGGGAGGCAGAGCCCCGACGCATGCACGTGTTTCGCGCGGGGGAAGGGGGCTAACAACCTAAAACAGCTGGAATCGGCTGGTGAAGACTTAAATTCGATCAGTGTGGCTTCTTCGCTGATTAGTTACAGAGGCGCACACAACACTCCAGCAAGAGACAGCTTGTAGCAACTGCTTCCAAAGCCTTTTGTACCCTCCTTCCCCAACCTAATCTGTCTTCCCTGACTTTTGATTTGGGAACTTTCGTGTCGTCGACCATACAACATCGACAGTTCGTCCAATAACTCTGTCGTCTCCGATTTTTGATTCGGAAAACCTCGAACCGTTTAACCATCGCACGCTGACCATTGGTGACGCTGGCGTGATTCAAACACGCAACCTTCCGACTTTGGGTATCCATCGAGGTTCTCAATTGCTGAATAAATGAACTATTGCGCCATAAAAGTTGTTGTCTAATTTTATTTTCCTCATCACATGTTCCACTGGCTGCTTGGTCTGTGGCAGTCCGCTCCCCTGGTCGCCGACGCACTCACTTACCTATGCTGCATTCGGTTCGCCAAGCATGCCTGTTAATTCCTGATCACGCGCGTGTGGCAGATCTTGAATAGCCGACACCGGGGCGATGATCGGCGCTTCTTCCTCTACTGATTGGCCGCAGCCGGATGAGACTCAGGCGCATACATTTCGACTACAATTTGCCCGATGAGAAGACTTGTTGTAGCTGCTTGTTGAACTGCGTGTGCCCCCGCTCGCATCACTAAGGCTTGTCCATATAACTGTCCTCCCTGCCTTATGGTTTGGGCGCCTCTGAGTTGTCGATCGCTGTACCTCGACAGATCATGTTGCTTTCAGAGAGGTGGCAATCCCTTCCCAAAAAAATTACAACTTTTTCGGGGTTTGTCTGCTCTGAGGATCCGAGCAAATACCCCCATCCTTGTCGGTACCAATACCACCTGACAGTGTTGAAAATGGCTTCATTGATACTCGTGATTCAGCGGCTAGGAGTCACCTGTTGATCATCGGCGGTGTGAATGTCCTATTTCTAGAAGCGGCAGCTTTACAGGTGTGCGGATACACAAAGGGAGCCGCACTGACTCATATCATCCCTTTGAGGAGACCTGCTGATTCCATGTAACCCCTAACTACTGCCGTACACGCGTATATCAGTGACAGGCTTCCAAATTACAAAGGTAGGGGGCGCTCATCGATCGTTCGTACGGAACTCACTCGTTCCGTTGTGCCTTACGGGCTCTCTCTCGAGCCCAACCAGCAGCCGCGCAGCGGCGCATGATATAGGCAGAATGGCATTACCGACAAAGACAAGGGAGACTGATATGGCCATTTCTGACTTATTAGCCGTCGTCAGCCAGTAATACCCAACCCCGAAATGTGGAACACCCGAGGCTCGAACTCGCGACCTGTTAGTTAGAAGTCCACGCCTCTAACCACTGGGCCACGAGACCGTTGCCCTGTTGGTTTCGATCGGGTACACACAATGGTAAGGGGTACTCACCGATCAGGGCAACGGGCTCGTGGCCGACTAATGTGATAACTTGGCCCTTCTTAATATGATATTTGCTGCACGCCCTATTGCGTATAACCCAAGACCTCCAGCTGTAAAGAGACTGCGAACTGTGGCGTTGGCGGAGAGCTTGTGTGCGGGACGCGTAGATGGTTTTGTATTTGTTTGTTTTTTCACGCCCTTTTCCGATCCTTCTGACTTTGTCCTGCAATCACGGATGACGGAAGGCAGAGTGGAAAGAAGACGGAGTGCAAATGTATGAGCGCAAATCACGGCTGCCTCCGACCCACAGTCAGTGACTGACCTTGTCTTTCACGGAGGTTTGATTATATTTGTTTATTAACTTTAGAATTTCTTTGGGGATGCCGAGGCAGTTATTAGTGAGGCCCTGACAACCAAATGAACTTGTCTTATTGATCGTGCTTAAATGGAGTCTCACGTTAGGTTAGATTGCTTTTCCCAGTCCCTTGTGTTGCACGATCTGCCAACTGAAGTGAACTGTGGATTTATTTGGTTTATTAAGGGCATGACGTTTCAAATACCCCTTCTGACTGTCCATCATGGGTGGCTGGCGATTCTCCAGTGATCCTGTTTGGGGCGCCAGCTGCACCACTGCACCAGCAACATCAGTCGTTCGCTTAAGTCGAGAGGCTCCGTCTGACTTTCGATCAATCACAGCTACCCACAATGGCCAATCAGCTTCGGGCCTGATGCAGGTACGTCCTCGCACAAGGAGCACCACGCCTGCCCCGGTAGCGCTTGAACATGCACCTTTCGTCCGACTGCCAAATTACCCCAGCCTTCATTCAGTCTCTATCGGCATCTGAGCTCTCTCTTACTCCTCGGAACCTGTTCTGAAGGTTGTGGTGAGGGTGAGGGTCTGTCCATGGATTTTGCTGTCGTGGCAAGATCAGCAGACAGACTCGTTTGTAATATCCACGTGTGGTCTCATCACCGCGCAGAACTACTGGTTGCTTTATGTGACGTTTGCATTTGAACAGGAGTTAAATTAAAACGGCATAACCTGGAATAAAACTTTCAGATTTTCTCGACAGGCGTCCCTGTAAAATGTCAAGTCTCCCAGTAATGTCGCGAATCAGTTCTTCGAATGTAGCAAGAATTTATTCCCTGCAATTATATCTGAAAGCATACACTGAATTTAGCTGAGTCCATAGTCCCTTTGCGACAAGCGTTAGATTCTGTGCATCAAAATAAAACGACTAATTATCCCTAGTAGCAATAGATATCGAGTGGATATACATGAATAGCGATTTATCGGGGCGAAATGTGGAAGAAGAGAACCAGAACGTGTGTATGCGCATGGAGTCACTCCGCTGATCTTGGCTAAGTCTGAGGGGGTAGCCTATAGTTAAGCCATGGGCCTATTGGCCGCAATGCCAGTCAAGGTCACGCGCGCGTCTAAATCAATTAGTCGTGACAGCTTACGGACGTGCAGCGAATCCTTTCTTGAGCTGATTTTTGAGTTGCACATTTTTGATTGCGTGAGTGGCCATTTTAAAGACCGACACAAAAGCAAATCACGACTTCACCAAAACGTTTATTCTTCCCTCTTAAGCTCAACCTTACTGGCGAAGCAAAATCAACGAAATTTTGTGCAAGTGGTGAGGAATTCAGGTAAAAAAACGCATTAACAGGAAGACATACCCCGTAGAAGCTACTATCAACGTAGGCGCAATCGACCTCGTAGAAGCCACCGGAGATGATCAAAATCCATAGAACAGGATGGAACAGGCTCATCGCAAAGTCGGCAGCCCGTTGGTCATACGAAGCAGACAGCAACTAGCCGCAAATGCTAGACACGGTTAACAATCGATAAAATTTGAATATTGCCAGCTGTCTGATTGACGCGGAAACAGTGCGAATTCGGTGGTTTATTTTGACGTTAGAATTTCGAAATTTCACAAATAAGTAGAATGTAGACCAGTCTGCAGCTGCAGAATGCGGTCATGATCTGTTTAACACTAAGGGTTTTGGTAGATTTTTAATAATTCATTTTCATTCAACTGTGAAAAACTCAACGATCTCGGTGGGATTCGAACCCACCACAGTAAGGGCAAGGCATCAGTACAGCCAACTCTCTAGACACCTGAGCTACGAGGTCCCACCGGGAGCCATGTGTTAAGTCGTATTTGGTTCAGGTTACCAGCCCAGCCTACTGCAACATATGGAATCAATCAAATCTGATACAGTAAGCTGACTGTCCAAGCAGGATTTCCCAAGTAATCCATTCAGCAGCCACCAGATGACAACCAGGCTCATTACCGCAGGCTGACTTTAAGCTAAAAACCCACATCGACTGGGCGAAGTACGGGACGGATGCAAAGTGCATTGTCGTCAAATCTGTTGCAAGGGGAGCATTTGATACACAATAGACCTGAATTCTCTCTAACTCGTGAGCCAGACGACGCACTCGACCGCGCTGGGCCGGGCAAAGATGAGCAAAGTTCCGACAAAATAATTTGGCTAGTCATTGTGACATGAACCCCCGGTTTCCAAACTTCCTTAGCAGCATTCTTTTGACTAAGAAATCATAAACACGCTTCAATGGGACATTTTTAGAGTCTCAGAGTAAATACTGTCTTCTGATGGGAGGGTTAGTAATATGTGGAGTCACAGATTTTTGAGAACTTTCGCAGTCCTTCGATTAAGTGGTAAAATCGGATCAATCACCTACGTCAAAGGATGGCAATCTTATTGCAAAACCCAGAAAAGGAATCGGCATTGCCATTTTAAAGCGAGGTGAGCAGACTTCAAAAATACAGCCGAACCCCGGTACTCGCGAACAACTAAAAACACGAATGATCGAGACTCTTGTAAAAACGCTTACAACTGCCTATTTAAATGTTCAAATACCAAATAATATCTTAAACTGTTGTCTTAAAGCACTTGAATGCTATTTCAAAGTCATCTTACAACATTGCCGATGAAAGTGTGTGGTTCACAGCTGCGCGTGAGCACACCATCAACGGCGAAAACGAATATTTTTGCCACTTTGTTCAGGTACGCACGTTTTCGTTCATTCAGCATTCATGCCGTTCCGTTTCCTTACAAGGTGTACAGTATGTAGAAGTAACATAGGTAGAGGGAACATTTAAGTACAAGACCTAGATATTTAAATATCGCGTTCATCATCTCCCGAAGAAGACGAAGAAGAAGAAGAAGAAGAAGAAGAAGAAGAAGAAGAAGAAGAAGAAGAAGAAGAAGAAGAAGAAGAAAAAGAAGGGGGAGCGAGCTCATGGACCATTGCATTTGCAGTGACTTTAAGGGAACTTCCTCGTTTCCATCATCAGAGTGGTGTGGTCGCTACTCCTGTTGGGCTTGATTTGATCAGTACTGCCGTCCGCCTCGTATTATAGCCGTGCTCGACACACGAACTTCGACCTGCCCGTTAGCTGCCGACTAGCTTTGACCTCTCCGAGCTTTCCTGGCAGCCCTACAGCGGGATGGTCGGAGCATCAACGAGTGGTGGATAGTAAGATGTATTTCAGAAAAGACTCGCTGCGAAATTACCCGGCCGCCAAATCTGATAAAGAAACAGCACCACATAATGAAGCGGACCTGTTGACCGGTCTTGCTGGTTGACGGTTTTTACAGCAAGGTCCCAAAGTCAGATTTCACTATGACCCGATTAAGGTTGACTGCGCATGAAATGCCGGAAGACATAGAGGTACGTTTGCGTTATGCCAGAAGGTAGAACCAGATGACGTACACACCTGCTTGATGCATCGCCTAAATACGAAAAACCCCTGTCATTACCGGTAGACATTGTTCCTTTGTTCTTAGATGCTAAAATCAGATGACCAAGAAAATTAACTATCCTACGATAACCTTGTATCGTGACTCATACTGCGTCTTAAGATTAACACCCTAACCAGGCGGCTGTGTAGTGCATACCTACGTCAGTAAGTTCCGACACAGAAATACATATATTCTACACTTCCATTGCAGAACGTGCCTCTATGAAGATCTTCCATGAAAACCGCTCGGTGAGGTTATTATAACTCATTGGACAAAATTTGTAGGAGCTTATTCTGCTGCCACCTCCTGTCCGCAGCTTGCATACACGCCGCGGTATGAGTCATGCTATGGTCGTTCCAAGCAACTGCCAGCCAATCACAGGCGTGGGCCAACTAATTTATCGATTTCCCCTGACCAGTATATGCTCCCACACAATCACTGGATAGCGGCAGATGTGTTAAGACTGCTCTCCAGTTTTCTTCGCAGGTTAGATTCGTTCTCTCAACTAGGAGTGGCGTGCAATGGCCTATCCTGGCCCTAGGAAGGGAATGGGGATGGTATTATCGACAAAAACAAGGGAGACTGGAATGGCTGTGGCGGCTAGCCATCCTGACTGGCCCGGCGTCATCGTTCAAGAACTCGCTGTCTCAAGGTCATTCCTCCCTTGCAGCGAGCCGTCCCAGACGAGCTGACCTGAAGTCACACGACCAACAGCTCGGGCATACCTGCGTCCGCGCAGTCGCAGCTGCCCATGCGACCACTTGAACGCGCCACCCCCTGCAACCAGCGGAACAAGCCACAGGGACACCACCCCTCGGCAAATGCAACACCCGCTGACTGGACACCACCTGAGCTTGGCCTACGAGCCTACAAAAGCGGCTGCCACCGCTATCTCAGGGACTCTCTGACTTGTTAGCCGTCATCAGCCGGCCATACCCAACCCCGAAGTGTGGAACACCTGGGACTCGAACCTCAACCTGTTGGTTAGAATTCCAGCGACCTAACCCCTGAGCCACGGTCTCGTTGTCCTGTCGACTGCGATCGGGAATACACCATGGTAGGGGACCGTTCACCGACCGCGTCTCGGAACTCACTCGTCCTGTTGTCTCTTGAGGCTTTCCGTCTTTCTCGGGGCCCGCCAGCAGCCGTACAGCGGCGCGCACTATAGGCAGAATGACATAAAGGGCGTCAGACTTCTAACTAACAGATCGCGCGATCGTGTCCCTCGGAGTTGAGTGTGGATGAATGGCTGTCACAATGCCTATATTAGACGACGCTGTGCGGCTGCTGACGGGTCCCGAGAAAGAGGGAGATCCCCAAGACACAACGGAGCGAGTGAATCCCGTAACGTGATTGATGAGCGTCCCTCCACCATTGAAATGGGAATCCCTGTTTTGTCTTGAAGCTGATGCTGTACAGTCCACACAGCCGGTCGCACGACGACTAACAATCGAAATAGGGAAGTTCTTCAGACCTGACTCTGAGATTACATACAGCAAGCTCCCAGGGTAAGACCCTCAACTTCTGGCTGGTTTGGTTTAAGATGTCGTTGTGTGAGGTTCTGGCAAATGGCGACAGTTTCAAATAAGAGTTTTGAACGAAGGACCGAAAGACAGAGGTCGGTTCGCTGCCTACGATGGCGATCTCCACAGGGACTCCATCAGCCACATCTGTTACGGGCAGTGAGGATAGGTAGGGAAGGAAATCTACATTTTTCTTCTTTTTGGTCCCACAAACATTTCCGCCATAGAGCGAGCTTATCCACTGGGTCTGTGATGGATACCGATAGTCCGTTCGAATGAGGAAACGCTGGTCAGACAAAAATTCTGGTATTGCCGGATGAGCATGGAGGTTGCCGGCAGGTATCTGTGAAAGTTCTATAGTTATGCTGCGAAGCGGTAAAAGCATTACTAGCAAAATAAGTCGAACGCTCCATCCCGTTTCTGGAAAGAAGGACGTCGATGGTGGATCCACGTGCGTCAGTTACAAAGATAAATAAGGTTTCTTCGGAGAGGATGGGGGAGGCCAATATGAAGGTGAGCAGAGACTGTCTTTGTTATATTCCCAAATAGTATGACGCCAGTTCTGTGCGGAATAGAAGACAGACAGGATACCAGAGAACAACTTTACTGTGTCAGTCACTCTGTGTATACCAACTCGTAATCCTTCCTTCCTTGGATTCGTATTGAAGGGTTCAGCCTTCGTTTGGCTTGCGCGTTCCTACTGGTCCAGTCCTGAGCGCCCGCATGGCCAGGCCCTCGCGTGTTGCTGGCCTCTGGAGGTCGCGCATGACTCAGCGGCATGCTAATGTCTGGCTCGCACGCGGGCTTCCTAGGCAAGGCTGTCCGGCGAGTTTGTGGTTCTTCGTCAGGCGTGACCCCTGGACGACAGGAACGGTGCGTTCGTGTTCCGGGCCGTCCTAACAGTCTTCATGCTTGAAAGGGAATGATCACATCAGAGGTTTGTTTGAGCTATCGGTATCCTTCGATAGACCACTCTAGAGGGTTTGCAATGCCTGCAAATTTGCGCACAAAACACCCTCAGCAGGAAAAAAATCGACAAAACTCCGAACTGTCGGGCGGCAAAACAACGTATTCAGCTGGGTTCAAAAGAAGACTGTCGTCTCTGATCATTTCAAAACCTCTCTCAGGCTAGTGTTCTTTCGTTCATGCATTGGCTCGAAACTGCGTTGTCATTAAAGATAACAAGTCATTTAGGAGGGAGCTGGAGCGACTATGACTTAACACCAGTTTCTCTAACCACGTGCGAGTGTCATGTATGTCGATCAGATAGGCCAGTGTGGAAGATTTGAATACCGTTATGGTGTATAGTTGTGGTAGCCAGTATTCAGGCGAAGTCTACCGTCATGCTTGATTGTCAGAGCGGTGGGCGAAGCCCAATGCGAGAAGGAGAGTTGAATGACATTGCCCTTATAGAACTCTTTATGGTATTTGAAACTCATGGTGATTAAAAAGAGGCATATGAAGTAGAACTTGCCC